AATTAAACGTCTTGCAGTCTGGTAGTAGGTAGGTAGGCAGCCTATGATGCGAGTGAATGGTCGATGAAGACAAATTTTAGTTACTCAGAAATTGGAAAACTTGAAGAAATAAGAGCTAGAAAAAGAGTAAAAAAATTAACTACACAATTGAGCGAGAAACTAATGTAAAGGACTTGATAATGTGAGAGGATCTCACTTTCAAAGATCACAACAGTGTCGTTATCACAACGGCGATTAAAATATAGAAATGATAATTAGAACCTTCAAAACAAGGGGTGCCAAACTAATCATAATTCGTTTTAAGTCGCTTGTTCTCTCTAGACTGAAATACTGCTGTACAGTAACCCCTTTCAAGGCAGACAAAACTGCAGATCGGGAGAATATATACAGAGAATTTTCACTGCATATATAGATACAGTCAAGCATCTCAATTAATGGGACTGTTATTAGTCCCTCCACCTGTATTGCTTGAAATGCAGGCGAGAAAGATACCTCATAATTTACACATGAAAAATCTTAGAGGGAGTAGACCCAAATATTTACACACAAAAAAATCACTCCCTACGAAAACAAAAGATTCGGCAGACGATGCAGTATCTACACAATGAAAAGCAGGTGGTGCTATGAGTACACTAAGAAAATTCATTTAGTGTCAAAGGCCCAAGACTGTTCATAAGTTAACCGCATAATGGGGATTATCAGTAGACCCCTGGCTGTCTTCAGGAGATCAACCAAAATCTTCGAATGGGCCACTCAAAACAATATGAAGTTCAACAAGGAGAAATTTCAACTACTCAGATAAGGGAAACTTGAAATTTAAAAATGTTAGGGTATACGACAAATTCTAACCATACAATAGAGCGGAAAAGTAATGTGAAGGATCTGGGAGTGATAATGTCAGAGGATCTCGCCTTCAAAGACCACAACAATGTATCTGCCTCATCCGCTAGGAAAATGATAGGATGGATAATGAGAACCTTCAAAACTAGGGATGCCAAGCCCATGATAATTCTCTTCAAATCGCTTGTGCTCTCTAGGCTGGAATACTGCTGTACACAAACGGCCCCCTTCAAGGCTGGCGACATTGCAGACCAGGAGAGTATACAAAGAACTTTCACGGCACACATAAGTGCGATAAGGCACCTAAACTACTGGGAACGGTTGAAGGTCCTTGATCTGTACTCCCTGGAACGCAGGCGAGAGATACATGATAATATACACTTGGAAGGTCCTGGAGGGATTGGTACCAAACCTGCACACGAAAATCACTCCCTATGAAAGCAAAAGACTCGGCAGGAGATGTAACCTTTCCCCGATGAAAAGCAGGGGCGCCACGAGTACACTGAGAGACAACACAATGAGTATCCGGGGCCCAAGACTGTTCAACGCCAGCTAAAGAGTCCATAGACCCTCTGTCTTAAAAGGAAGGAGGTCACCTAAGTCAGACCTGACACGGGCTGTGGTCGTACTAGCTGCGATGCGGCCAGCAGACAGCCTAGGTAGATCAGACCCTGATCCACCATGAGGCTTGGTCTCACCGAGCAGCGGGGGCGTGACGCCCGAACCCTTCAGTAACTGAGGTACACCTGCGATTATGCTGACACTGCAGGATATAGCTGACCATGCAGGATAGCTGACCTGCAGGATATATGCCGACACTGCAGGGATATGCTGACACTGCGGATAGCTGCCTGCGATATATCTGACACTGCAGGATATATGCTGACGGTACTGCAGGATATATGCTGACACTGCAGGATATATGCTGACACTGCAGGATATATGCTGACACTGCAGGATATATGCTGACACTGCAGGATATACAAGTTCACCAGTGTCAACAGTTTGCGTTCATCAGTAAACTATCAGTTAATTATGGCGTAGGAAGTGTAATGATTGACCTGCCTACAACGACCACCTAACTGAACGTATCAGGAGTGACGGCTCACCTGCCTCCAGCGACCACCTAATTGAGTTTTATAATTTATTATCGGGCAGTTTATTCGGGTTAATTAGGTGGTCGTTAGAAGCAGGCGAGTCCTACATTTGACACACCTGTTCATTTCTGTACACACTTAACAGGTGAAGGGCTCTTGATCCGAGGAACTGGAGCTAGTTCTCCGTTCCTTCGGATCAAAGCTGATTTACCTCCCATTCCCAAGGGTCAGTCCATGCGGGTTTAGCGCTTCTCTTTAACAATAGATAGAATTTTCTTCAGTTGCCTTTTCCTCAAAGTGTCTGTTGTCCTGTCTGTGGTGTCTGTTGTCCTGTAGGTGTGTGTGTCTGTTGTCCTGTAGGTGTGTATGTGTTGTCCTGTGTGTCTGTTGTCCTGTGTGTGTCTGTTGTCCGTGTGTGTGTGTGTTTGTCCTGTAGGTGTGTGTGTGCTGTCCTGTGTGTGTCTGTTGTCCTGTAGGTGTGTGTGTCTGTTTCCTGTGTGTGTGTCTGTTGTCCTGTAGGTGTGTGTGTGTCTGTGTTGTTGTCCTGTGTGTGTGTTGTCCTGTGTGTCTGTTGTCCTGTAGGTGTGTGTTGTTGTCCTGTGTGGTGTGTCTGTTGTCCTGTAGGTGTGTGTGTTGTCCTGGTGTGTCTGTTGTCTGTGTTGTTGTTTGTGTCTGTTGTCCTGTAGGTGTGTGATGTGTGTTGTCCTGTGTGTGTCTGTTGTCCTGTAGGTGTGTGTGTGCTGTCCTGTGTTGTGTCTGTGTCTTGTCCTGTAGGTGTGTGTGTGTGTTGTCCTGTGTGTGTCTGTTGTCCTGTGTCTGTTGTCCTGTTTGTGTGTGTCTGTTGTCCTGTAGGTGTGTGTGTGTGTGCTGTCCTGTGTGTGTGTGTTTGTCCTGTAGTGTGTGTGTGTTGTGTGTGTGTGGGGTCCTGTGTGTGTGTGTGTTGTCCTGTGTGTGTGTGTCTGTAGTGTGTGTGTGTGTGTGTGTGTGTTGTGTGTGTTGTCCTGTCTGTGTGTGTTTGTCCTGTGGTGTGTCTATTGTCCTGTAGGTGTGTGATTGTCCTGTAGGTGTGTCTATTGTCCTGTTAGGTGTGTTATTGTCCTGTAGGTGTGTCTATTGTCCTGTGTGTGTGTGTCTGTAGTGTTCTGTAGGTGTGTGTCTGTAGTCCTGTCTGTGTGTGTCTTATCCTGTAGGTGTGTATGTGTTGTCCTGTCTGTGTGTGTGTTTGTCCTGTCTGTGTTGACCTGTCTGTGTATATCTGTTGTCCTGTGTGTCGTTGTCCTGTCTGTCTGTTGTCCTTTAGGTGTGTCTGTTGTTTTTTCTGTGTTGTGTCCTGTCTGTGAGTGTGTGTTGTCCTGTCTGTGAGTGTTGTCTGTGTGTGTTGTCTTGTTTGTGAGTGTTGTCTGTGTGCGTGTCTTGTCCTGTCTGTTGCCCTGTCTTGTGTCTGTCTTTATGCTCAGTGGATGAAACCAGCCAAATCTTCACGCTGGGTTCACTTCACGCTGGGTTCACTTCACTCTGGGTTCACTTCACGTTGGGTTCACTTCAAGCTGGGTTCACTTCAAGCTGGGTTCACTTCAAGCTGGGTTCACTTCAAGCTGGGTTCACTTCAAGCTGGGTTCACTTCAAGCTGGGTTCACTTCAAGCTGGGTTCCATGTAATCTAAGTTGCAGACTCCAAACTTTGTTTTGGGTGACCCAGGGTGTTTATAGCAGCAGTGGGTCTACTGTCACTTATCTGAGTACCACACCCACACCACACCCACACCACACCCACACCACACCCACACCACACCCCACCCTACACACACATCCCACCCACACCCCACTCACACCCACACCACACCACCCCCCCACCCACACCATGCTATTTATATGCATATTGAAGCTTAAAATTCAGGTACGTCAACAAACGCTCAGATGAGCGTTTGTTGACGTTGAAACACACAATAGAAAACTTCTCTCTTGGTCTATATTCCATCATATTTCATATTAATTTAACATCATAATAATGGACTTATACTCAAAATTAATGTTTTTTCTAACCCCGCCCACACGACGCCCACACCCACAAAAATCGTCCACACCACGCCCACCCTTCAAAACTGTACGGACGAGTCTACTGGAAGATCAGTGGTCAGGTTAGGTAAAATTTGTCAGGAAACAGGATAAGCGTTTCCTGGAGCTTTTGGTCATCTGACTGAGGCCTTCCGCTGGCTTACCGGTCCACCTCTAAAATCATGGTAAGAGCCAGCAGAGATTAGAGTCACCATTAAGTGCAACACAGTACAGTAACAGTGCAACACAGTACAGTAGCACAGTGCAACACAGTACAGTAGCACAGTGCAACACAGTACAGTAACAGTGCAACACAGTACAGTAACAGTGCAACAGTACAGTAACAGTGCAACACAGTACAGTAACAGTGCAACACAGTACAGTAACAGTGCAACACAGTACAGTAACAGTGCAACAGTACAGTAACAGTGCAACAGTACAGTAACAGTGCAACACAGTACAGTAACAGTGCAACACAGTACAATAACAGTGCAACACAGTACAGTAACAGTGCAACAGTACAGTAACAGTGCAACACAGTACAGTAACAGTGCAACACAGTACAGTAACAGTGCAACACAGTACAGTAACAGTGCAGTACAGTAACAGTGCAACACAGTACAGTAACAGTGCAGTACAGTAACAGTGCAACACAGTACAGTAACAGTGCAGTACAGTAACAGTGCAACACAGTACAGTAACAGTGCAGTACAGTAACAGTGCAACACAGTACAGTAACAGTGCAACACAGTACAGTAACAGTGCAACACAGTACAGTAACACTGTGCAACACAGTACAGTAACAGTGCAACACAGTACAGTAACACTGTGCAACACAGTACAGTAACACTGTGCAACACAGTACAGTAACAGTGCAACACAGTACAGTAACACTGTGCAACACAGTACAGTAACAGTGTAACAGTACAGTAACAGTGCAACACAGTACAGTAGCACAGTGAAACACAGTACAGTAACACTGTGCAACACAAAACACAGTAAGACTGACCTTCCACTCTTCGTGATGATCATCTCGGTGCCCAGGTCGTGGAACTTCTCCCAGAGATCCTTAGTCTCCAGGTAGCAGGTGACGCCTCTCAGGTCGTCACAGTTGCACGACCCCTCCAGACGCGCCCTCTTAGAGTCCCGACCATCCGAGGAGGTGGTACTCTTGGGACTGGTGGCGTCGTCGGGGTCGTCCTTGGCGGCGTCGGAGGACGAGGTGACTTCGGGGGGCTCCTGGTCGTCGTCGTCAGGCATGGACAGTGGGTGTGGCGATGGTGTCCTTGATAACTTCCCTGCAACAGAGAGTGCAATGTTGAGTCACGAAATCGTAATAATGCAATTGAAAACGAATTAGGGAACGTGTGGGGTTTGAACCCTGGGCAATTGAGACCTAAGACGTGGTCACAGGCCAGTGCGTTAACCACTCAGCCAGCTGGCTGAATCTTATTAGAGACAGCTGGCCCAGTGTTCAAGCCCCTACCCAGCGGGTAGGGGCTTGAACCCGCGGTCACTGAGTCATAAAACTCCAGACCGACGCCTTATTCACTGGGCCCGCTGTGAGTTTTAGAACTCACTGGCCATGGGTTTAAACTCCGCCCGTTCCCTGGTTTAATTTACAATGTCGATTATGCTAGAGAAAGAGTGACAATATTGTGACCTATGTGGAGGTGGCATTATATGCCCAGCCCTGGAGGAAGGAAGGGCAATTTCTGCTCTCTGAAGAGTGTACAGGGATGCTGGAGTTGGAGAGTAATCTGAAGTGTGATTTATATTTTTTTTTATATAGATTCGCCGGTATTCTCCCGGCCCGTACCTTTTCCAAGTGGTGGCCCGGCCTTGGCTCCCTCTTTAGGGAGTGTCTGAGACCTAAGTCTCCTATGGGAGGAGGCACAAGTACCTCCTCATCTTTGGGACCAAGTGTCCCCATGCCTAGCTTCTCGTAGGGAGAACCTAGGCCTCTCTGATCTGCCATCCCCGCCCCAAGGGGGTTATTGGGAATGGCAGTCTTGTGAATTGCAAGCTCGGGCTGAGGCACCTACCCTACCCTAGAAGGGCTGGGCATGGTGTCGATCCTGAAGTGTGATGTCACCACACCTCTAAATGTGGTTTAAATAATTCAGAAAACCAACAAGTTGGAGAATGATACACTTGTGCAACATCTGTGAATCTTTACTGAGGAAAAGTTTCGCCAACCAGTGGTTTCTTGAGTCCAGTGCAGATAAGAACAGTGGAAGATGAGGAGTAGTAGTTTGAGGTAATCAGTCCCTCATGCTGAGGGACTGATTTTCCTACTATATGCTGCACAAATGTCTCACTCCTCAAAGTTTTGGAAAAACAGCGATAGAACAAATAATGGTTTAGGTATTGTCTTCTGTGGGTAACACTGCCACAGCGAGAGACGGCCTTCCAGGTAAACAAAAGAGATTTATATTTATTAATGTGGGTGATTCCATCATGCTGCCTCATGCCTGTGGAAATAAAGCAATATGCGTGTTATGGCATTTATTAAGACATTTCGCCCACCAGGAATTTAATCAATATTGTCTTATTTGCAAACTGTTGACATGTAAACTACCGTTACATCACCTAATTAGCTAACACAGTTCAGGTGAGTTAGTGTTAACCAACTCCCCGTTAGTACATATTTTTTTCCATTTCTGCTTCAAAACATGTTTGTTATGTAGATAAATGGTTCAGAGAACCGGCATGTTGATAAATTAGACACATGTGCAACTCTTGGGTATCTTTGAGGAAACGTTTCGCCACACAGTGGCTTCATCAAGATTCTCCTTTGTATGGACTGATGAAGCCACTGTGTGGCGAAAAGTTTCCTCAATAAAGATACCCAAGAGTTGCACATGTGTCTAATTTATCAACATGTTTGTTATACTTCAACATCTCGTCCAAAAATTACATCGGCTGTACAAATCCGGATTTCTGGTCATGTGGTCCATTATTACAATAAACTTGGCTGCCCCTGTGCGTGTGTATATATGGTCTACGCTTCTGTTTACAGTATTCCTACGAGGTGCACAATAACGTTGTCGTCCACGGAATGGCTGTGGGACGCACATTAAACTAGCCACCTCGGCGATATAATTAAATATATTTTCTTCGTTCTAGGAAGGTGGTTAATAAGAGATTTGTGTCGCTGAAATTCTAAGGGGAAAAGTTTCTGATTCACTATTTTTTTCTCTGGCAGAGCGCAGGTCTGCTGGTTGCAGTGCGCAGGTCTGCTGGTTGCAGTGCGCAGGTCTGCTGGTTGCAGTGCGCAGGTCTGCTGGTTGCAGTGCGCAGGTCTGCTGGTTACAGTGCGCAGGTCTGCTGGTTACAGTGCGCAGGTCTGCTGGTTATAGTGCGCAGGTTTGCTGGTTACAGTGCGCAGGTCTGCTGGTTACAGTGCTCAGATCTGCTGGTTACAATGCGCAGGTCTGCTGGTTACAGTGCGCAGGTCTGCTGCTTACAGTTCTTAAGCTTCTGGCAGTGCGCGGGTCTGCTGGCTGCAGTGCACAAGTCTGCTGGTTACAGTTCTTAAGCTTCTGGCAGTGCGCGGGTCTGCTGGCTGCAGTGCGCAGGTCTGCTGGTTACAGTTCTTAAGAATCTGGCAGTGCGCAGGTCTGCTGGTTACAGTTCTTAAGCTTCTGGCAGTGCGCGGGTCTGCTGGCTGCAGTGCACAAGTCTGCTGGTTACAGTTCTTAAGCTTCTGGCAGTGCGCGGGTTTGCTGGCTGCAGTGCCCAGGTCTGCTGGTTACAGTTCTTAAGAATCTGGCAGTGCGCAGGTCTGCTGGTTACAGTTCTTAAGCTTCTGGTAGTGCGCGGGTCTGCTGGCTGCAGTGCGCGGGTCTGCTGGTTACAGTTTTCTGGCAGTGCGCAGGTCTGCTGGCTACAGTGCGCAGGTCTGCTGGCTACAGTGCGCAGGTCTGCTGGCTGCAGTGCGCGGGTCTGCTGGCTGCAGTGCGCGGGTCTGCTGGCTGCAGTGCGCAGGTCTGCTGGCTACAGTGCGCGGGTCTGCTGGCTGCAGTGCGCGGGTCTGCTGGCTGCAGTGCGCAGGTCTGCTGGCTGCAGTGCGCAGGTCTTGGGCTACAGTGCGCGGGTCTGCTGGCTACAGTGGGGCGGGTCTGCTGGCTGCAGGGCGGGGTCTGCTGGCTGCAGTGCGCGGGTCTGCTGGCTGCAGTGCGCGGGTCTGCTGGCTGCAGTTATCAGGTATCTTTTTCTCTGATGATAAATAAGATAGCAGAGCAATACTTGGGAATCTTGACATCCGGAATAAGGACTCCCCAAGTGTTGCACTAGTGTCTCATTTATCTTCTTCTCGGTTTTCTAAATCAATTATTTAAATTCTTTTCGTCTACATCGCCCGTCAGCGCCATCTGTAAGCCTGGGATATGCACGATCAGTTTGGTTCCTGCCTATTTCAGTCTAATTATACTTTTTTCCTTGTGTTGTCAGGAGAGCCTTGTTCTTTTCTTCTCTGTGTTCATGCTGGTGAGGGGCTCTTGATATAGGGAATTTGATCTGTGCTCCAGCTCCTTGAATCAAGCCTGAGTGCTTTACCCCCCACAGGAACTGTATAATCTCTTCGGGCTTAGCTCTCCCACATGATAATAATGTGTTTCTTTTGTTCACATATACACCTTCGTTATGATTCATTCTTATGTTAGTGCTACTGTCTTGTGCTTTCAGTTATTGTAGGTCGTGGTAATGTTTGTGTGTTAGTGAGGTATCCTGAGCCACAGTACTGTGGCTCAGGGTAACTCGCTAACACTAGCCACCCATTTGATACAGCTTCACCCTGCTTACTTTAAAGCTTGTAACACATTTATTTTCAGCCCAGCCCATAGGAGTGATCCCTCAGACGTGCGGGTGTTGTATATTGGTGACTGAACGTGGAGCCAGCCTCTTCTACTGCACTCAAGGTTTACTTCAAGATTCATCGAGTGTGGCTCCAGTGGAAATAGTTTATCCTTTATCCTGTGTCTTGTAAGCTCCCAGCTGCAACACCATCGCTCGTGTCACCTTGTTACCAGCACCATTGTTTGTTCACACAGTGACCTAGTCACCATCCTCACCTGCCACCTTGTTACCACCACTATCTCTTCACAGTTTTTTACTAAATCGTATACCAATCCTATACCATTCGTTGGTTTTAGTAGTATACGCAATCGTATACCATTCGTTGATTTTAGTAGTATACACAATCGTATACCATTCGTTGGTTTTAGTAATATACACAATCGTATACCATTCGTTGGTTTTAGTAGTATACACAATCGTATACCATTCGTTGGTTTTAGTAGTATACAAAATCCTATACCATTCGTTGGTTTTAGTAGTATACAAAATCCTATACCATTCGTTGGTTTTAGTAGTATACAAAATCCTATACCATTCGTTGGTTTTAGTAGTATACAAAATCCTATACCATTCGTTGGGTTTTAGTTAGTATACAAAATCCTATACCATTCGTTGGTTTTAGTAGTAACCAATCGTTTTTACCATTCCCTTGGTTTTAGTAGTATACACAATCGTATACCATTCGTTGGTTTTGTAGTTTAAACTATCGTTACCATTCGTTGGTTTTAGTGTTACACAATCCTATTTCCATTCGTTGGTTTTTAGTAGTATACAAAATCCTATACATTCGTTGGTTTTTAGTAGTATAACAATCCTATACCATTCGTTGGTTTAGTAGTTTTACCAATCGTATACCATTCGTTGGTTTTAGTAGTATACACAATCGTATACCATTCGTTGGTTTTAGTAGTATACGCAATCGTATACCATTCGTTGGTTTTAGTAGTATATACAATCGTATACCATTCGTTGGTTTTAGTAGTATACACAATCCTATACCATTCGTTTGGTTTTAGTAGTATACACATTTCCCATACCATTCGTTGGGTTTTTGTAGTATGCACAATCCTATACCAATCGTTGGTTTTAGTAGTATATTACAATCGTATTTTCCATTCGTTGGTTTTAGTAGTATACACAATCCTATACCCCTTCGTTGGTTTTAGTAGTATACACAATCCTTACCATTTGTTGGTTTTAGTAGTATACCACAATCCTTATACCATTCGTTGGTTTAGTTGTATACACAATCCTTTTAACATTTTGTTGGTTTTAGTAGTTACACAATCCTATACCATTCGTTGGTTTTAGTAGTATATACAATCGTATACCATTCGTTGGTTTTAGTAGTATATACAATCGTATACCATTCGTTGGTTTTAGTAGTATACACAATCCTATACCATTCGTTGGTTTTAGTAGTATACAAAATCCTATA